ACAGAAACTCAGAGGCCCAGCTCCCTACCTCCCCCACCCCCGGCAGATATTTTGTGCTCATTAAGACAGCCAGCCGCCAGCCTATCTAAGAAAACAAAAGACCTTCAGCTCCAGGATGAAGGAGTTATCCTTTAGGACATAATAGGATTAACCCACTACCATTTAGCAGAAGACATAGTGTACAATCTCCTAAGTGTATTTCCTTTATTGCATCACCCACAGCAAACTTCAACCAAACCTGGGAGCTCAATCTATAGAGCCAGCTATGAATCCTACAATAGAATACATGTTCTTGCACAGGAACAAGAAGTTCGAGTGCAGAGCCCAAGAGTGCAAAACCCCACTTCCCACTCTCAACTCCATGTAGTCAGCTGCACCAGAACCATGTGCTTGGTGGTTCAGGTTCATTAAACCATCTTTCCAATCAGCCTCCATGTTTCCAGTGTCTTTCTCACAACTTGGAACTGAACCAGATGGATATTTCTTCCAACAGATCTATACAGGCACAGAAGAAGCAAAGCCAGTTCTACGGTTTTGGCATGAAGCGCAGTATAATGAAGCTCCCTTTTCCTTTCCCCAGGCCACCCAGTGTTCATTGTCCACAATCCAGGTTAAGCACTTTATTTTGGGAAAGCAGTCTGCACCTTTTGAAAGTCTTCAGCTTATGACCTTGGGGTTGTAAGATTTTCTCAAACTGCAAATGGCTCCTTCCCACACATTCAATCATACCCCTCTCCCCCCTTTGCTTTGCTGTCAAGCTACAAGCAGAAAGGTATTTTTTGCGAGTCAACCTTGACAGATTAATAGTTTTAAGAAATTTTAATGTGGCTTTTAAGAATGAAAGTATGTAGGCTAAAAGAAAGATGAACAGGAATGGTCCAAGAATAAGTACAAGTGAAAAAAAATGAAATTAGGCAAATTTGAAATTGAAGGATGCTTTTTTGATCCTACCAGCTTCTTTAATACTGTTCTTTTTTATCATGTTTTACTTGGTAAGTTTTTCTTCTCATTTTTGATATATATTTACCCTACATATTTTTACTGAGCTTCTTTCATTGTGAATCTAAATTACCTTTAGTTGTTCTAAGTAAATTTTACCTCATGATTGTCTCTTTTCAAATCTCCTTTTTGGATCTCAAATACTGCATTACTATACTATTCTGAGAATCTTAAAAACATATATTTAAATTTAAATTATATTTAATAGCATTATAGGCAAGTAAATGGTTTCACCAAATTAATTTTCATAACAAAAAGGATTACTTAAATACAACAACAAATTTAAAAGAAAGTATGCAAAACAGAAGGGACAAAAGCACCAATATTTTTATGACTAAAAGGTAACACATCCATTTTGTCCATAAAGGACTAGTTCAAAGGTTGACAGTGCATACATTTCACCAAGCCAACCTTTGGCTTATGTTGCACTATTACCTTCCCAAGAATATGTAAAATGTTTTTCCTCTCTAAGCATGATAAGACTAAATGTTTTCATAATTAATACATTACAAATTTTGGAAATATATTTTAACCTTAATGTCTTTAAATCTAATTTCTCCTATGAAGACCCCATAGGGTATTAAGGATATGGAAAAAACAGGGTGGTATGATTAAATCTCATGTGTTAACATACTTCTAAATGTTTGTATCTCCAGCACAGATTAATAGATAATCTATTATTTTAAACATTTTTTGAAAAATTCAGTAGACACCAAAAAGAAATTTGTCATCAATTCATATCATGTTAAGTCTGTAAGAAACATATGTAATATTTTTTAAAAACCTGAGACCAATAACTTGCTAGAACTGGGTTTTCAAATTCTTTCTTCCAAATTAGACCAGTCCTCAGCATTATTTAATTCCAAGGTGACCTCAACTTTGTCTGGTCTGTGTATGTATTCACACTCATGTATGCACTGGCATGCCTTCAAGTCAGTATTGATTCCTGGCAACTACCTGGACACGTCCCTGTAGTTTTCCTGGCAAAGTTTGCTATTCAGAAGTGGTTTACAATTGCCCACTACTTAGAACTGAGAGTGATTGGCTGTCTTTATGCCTAAAATGGGCCTAGAGCTCAGGATCTCCTGGTTTCTAGTCTGGTTCCTTATCCACTACACCAAACTGGCTCTCAAACTTCAGAAAGTCTAATGACTCCCAATTTTCCAAGGGTACAGTTTTTCAATTATCATGATTTGAGCATGTATACAACCAATCTAAATGTTAAGTTATTGCTACATTTTTTTATTTTGATGTCCTCCTGAATTTAATTTTCCATCTCAGTATCACTTTCTAAGAATTTTATTAGTGATGGTGTTTAATTCTTATTTAAATATAAATGTACCTAATGTAAGCTTTTAATTGGATGCTTTTTTTAAATTCAAAATTTATACCGTAATTCTCTTTATATCACCATGCAATTTATCAATAATAATAAAAAGTATATTAGAGAAAATCTATATGCATTTAGACAATAATACATTCTATTAAGGGAGATTGTTTACAAAAACTGTGCTTTTTTGAAATTTGTGGTATGAAGTATGGGAAGAAGAGATTTTTAAAAATTGAAGTACTATAGAAGGTGTTAAGTTATACTTGTCAAATTGTTTCTCCTTGTCTGGAGGGAGGGGGAAGTCAACTTTTATATATTTTCTTTAACTTTTTTTCTATTTCCTTCCACTTTACTTTTCATATTTTCCTTAGTTTATATTAGTTTTTCATCTTTGTATTCATAAACATTAAAAAAACTATTACAAAAGAAATGTGTGAACAAATCTTTCAATTAACTCAATTTGACAGCAATGCAAAAAAGGGAAAATGTGATTAACTGAAGAGGTTGTGGCTCACTTGTAAATTTATTGGTGAGAAGGAGATAATGTAATCCAAAACTTTTGGGATACTTTTTTACAGAAAAACAATTTTTAAATTTAGTTTAGAAGGATAAGTTTATTCTACAGACTTATCTGTTTATATTTAAAGAGCTTGCAACCATTTAGCCCTTTAATATTAATACTATTCGTTTATGTAGAAGTTAATAGATGAAAATATTCCAGAGAAATGTTCTGAAAGAGAGAGGAAATCCAACTGAATATATTATTTTGTTCTTTGTGTTTTCATGATAGACAAAAAGGGTTGTTAGACCTTCTTGTTGTTGCTTTTCTATGAATTCTGTGTCTCTCCCAAACAAACCTACAATTATTAGTCAGGAGGCAATTCTGCCATCTGTTGGGAAAAACATTCAGAACAGTGTACCAGTCTTATTAGTCCGTGTCAAAAAAAACAAAAGTCTCAGCTTAAAAATGTATTGTTTATACAGAACAAATAGCATAAATAGATTAGATGGAAGAACTAAGCTAGCAATGCTATTAGCATATGCAATTCTATATTTGACATTTCTAACCTCAGAAATGTTATCACTAACTAATATATGATTCTGATTACATAATTCCATTTTCATAGGTTTGTGAATATATATTGAGGGAAATTGTATCGGAACAAAATGAATGTTAAAATTGTAGGAAGCTCAGGCAATGAAAGTGAAAGAAAGTGAAAAAATAGGGTTAATATTAATGTCTACAAGAAGTATATTAAAGAGATAGGTAAAGCTAATTTCAACCTTTTACTCTTTTCCTGGTAGAAAGTACTTAACAAGATTCTAGGATTTGGCTATCCCTTACGTATTTTCTGTACATGAATATTCTGCTATAAAACTTGTGCTTCCTCATAAGGGCAGTATTCATACTGAAAATATAATTTCATCTCCTACCAAGAATAACTAAAGCAAACATAAAATTGAGCATGCATTTTTCTTAAAAGAAGCAACACAAGGAATTCCTATACTCCTGATCATGATGGCTGGGGAAGTGTTTAACTCCTTTTTCTACCCATAATATTTTCTTGTTAAAAATGTAGCCCAGTTGCTACTGTTAGCCCACCTGATGGATCACAAGCACAAATGGATGAGGGATAGGCAAAGAATATTTCTCATCATTCTTTCTCCTGGCTCCTCTGACTCTTTGAACACTAAAGCCATGTTTGATCTTAGTCCAAGGGACAGACTGCAGGCACAGAAGACAATGATTAAGCTCCACACCTGGATTCCACCATGCCATACACCTGCATGGTGCCATACACCTGGTGCCATACACCTGGTGCTGCCTGGAAAAGTATCACTAACTGGTCAGATACAGGGAGGCTGAGAGAATATATTCTCAGCCTCCCTGTATCTGACCGGTTAGTGATACTTTTCCAGGCAGCACCAGGAGCTAATCCTCAGTGAAAGGGAAGCAAAGCAAAAAGGTCCCCTCAATTGCTTTAATTTGTGTAGCATTAAACATGTGCCAGCGTTCACAGAAGAGGTCTCAGCAAGGATGCCAGTGTAAAGTGCTTACAACCTACACAAAATTTGACCAGAGACATTTGGTTGCATCCTTAAGATGTCTTTTTCTGTTTGTTATCATCCACTTTCGATCTATTTCTGGTTGTTTTTCTGTACTTCCCAATGTTTATCTCCAAAGGGAACAACGTGATGGGTTCATGTCACAATGTTATACGCCCTATACGACTAGAATAGTTTTTACTAGTCCAGGCAGTCACCGGGAGTCAATAACTGAATCGAATATATACCCCACCCCACCCCAAATCTTTATTTCAATCATTTGGTTTAGCGCGCCTTGGCTGTATCTCCCGGAGCTACTTAAGCAGTGCGATAAAGTAAAGCAAAACATTAAAAAACGAGGAAGGAAAAAAAAGAAGCAGCCACTTCCCCCCTCTCTCTCCCCCGCCGGCAAGGCACTGAACTGAACGAAGGAGGCGGGGGATGATAATGGTAGCTGTTTCGTTGCTTAGCAACCAAGGCGAAAGGCATTCCGTCTGTCCCTCCCTTCCTCGGGCCACAATTCTTCGCACACGGGTTCAAATAGAAATCATCCTTTTTTTGGTTTCTGCCTCGGCGCGAATGGTGACGCAATCGGCACGCGCCTAATGTGAAAGAGGAAGGCGACGTGTGGAGCTGAGGAAGTGGGAGTTTCTCCCCTCATGAAAATGTTATGGTGGTGAATTTGGGTAGGAGAGAGATGTTTCGCCGGCGGTTCTTTTCCCTGCTCGGCTCAGTAGAAGACGGACCCTGTTTTGACTGCATGGCTTAAAGAGCTCGCCGGTATCCGGCAGGGCTCTGCAGGTAAGTAAAAGCATAAGAAACGGAGCAGGTGCGGTCTTCTTCCTACAAAACTTGGAGCTAATTAAGGTTCGCGGAGGTCGTCCTTCCCTCTCCGCAGTTATATATGAATATACAATTATATCGCAGCCTTTCAGGTTGGAGAATAAAGATAGTCTTCCGGTGGGTAGTGAGATCAGTATTGGCAAAATTATTTGCACCGGTGGCTAAATCTGTTAGTTGACATAGATGGTTGTGCTGGGACAGAAGCATCCTTTCATTAATTTGGGTCTTTGTATTTGTATCCAATCGGGGATGTCCCTGGTGTTCCCCAATAGGAGCTCATTTGGAAGTTTCAATTGTGAATGAATTTCTTGTTGAATGAGCCGGGAAAGTTTATATTTGCAATGTGGATATGGCCTTGTTTTTCATTTGCAAAACGTCAAGCAAAGCTTATGCCATAGGAAGGCATATTTGCTGAAGTACTTGCAAGTGTGTATTGAAGGTTGTAATCTTCGAAATGAAAAATAGGCTACTAAATTTGAATTGTGCAAAATACCCAACCTTTTTTTTTTTTGAGTAAAACACATCGAATTCAGATCATATGTGTAGCACTTTGTTTAACTGACTGGTAGCCATCCACCCTAAAAAAATATTTTCTTCACAGGTTATTCATACTCTGAACCTGCCTTCTCAACACTCTTGTTGGCTGGGCTAAGACTATGGCTCCTAAAGATATAATGACTAATTCACATGCCAAGTCCATTCTTAATGCAATGAACTCTTTGCGAAAGAGTAACACACTATGTGATGTGACCCTGCGTGTGGAACAAAAAGACTTTCCAGCTCATCGTATTGTATTAGCTGCTTGCAGTGACTACTTCTGTGCTATGTTCACAAGTGAGGTAGGTAAGATAGACATCAAACTTATTTTGGATTTTTTTTCTATGGGAGTAACATGTACCAGAAACTTAACAGTTAAAAGTATCAGTGCAATCTAAGTATAAACCTTCCTGGAAATAAGATTCATTGCATTCTTTGAGATTTACCCAGTACAAGTGCATAGAATTGCATTGTACAGCTGCAGTTCTTTGTGTAATCTGGAAGTAAGGCAATGGGATTTGCTTTTAAATGAATGTATATGTGTTTGGGCTCTGGGTGTGGGTATTCTTATACAGAGGTTAAAATTGGTAGCAAAATATATAATTCAAACATTATCTTAGTCATGTTTTTCTAAAGTTGAATGTTGCCCAGTAACTTTAAATTGTTACAGTGTAATAATCATAAAACAATTAACATAACAATGTAATGGATAGGTAACAATGTTTCTTCTCGCTGTAATTTAATTATATATATTTGGCCATATTTCTACTTGTATAAAAGTTAATATGAAGTTCAGTATTAAACCTTGGACCCTTTCGCAACTTGGGCCCTTTCGTTTGAGCAAAGATTGGAAGGCCAACTTCATGGATTTTGCACAGTTATGTATCTTCTTTAATGGCCTTTCTCCTATAGGGTTATAGAGAATAAGACTTTTGGGGATATTTGAGAATTTCATTAGTTTGTATCTTGTTTTTGCATAATATTTCCCCTCTTTCACTTTTTATATACTTTTTTGTATGTATAGTATAACATATATAATCAAATAATATCTGAGTACAGTATTTATTTGATCTCTTATGGCAATACATTTGAATTAGAGGATCCTTAACTTACACCCTTATGTGATGCTTTGGTAACCACAATTCTAACATGTATTTGAAATCTATGAGCAAATAATTTTTAAAAGCATTTATGTTATATAGTGTAAACTTATAAGACCTCTAGAAAAAGATGTACTGAAGTACTAGTAAAAAAGATTGAAATGAATGAACATTAAAGTATTTTCTAGAAGGAAGCGAAGTGTTTGTTTGATGCTATATATTATTTCTCTAGGAATGTTTTACTTCTTGAAATTTTATTTGTTGTAAATTCATACTTTGTAAATTAATGCTTAATAAATTACTTTTGCCAAACGTGTCTGTAGGTGACCTGAAACAAAACTATGAATGTTACTTATCTAGGCCAGAAATAGTACAGATACTAACAATAAATATATTTTATTTCAATAAATTATATTTTGTAAACTAATAACTTTTTTTACAGAAGGAGGATTTTGTTGTAATTTATATATGAAAGAAATTCCCCTTAATTGGTATGGTGAATTAAATATCTTAAGCTACTTAGAAAAAGCACTAAGATATTTGTGTATTTATTGTAGTCTTTCAAGGTGCGCTTTTAATAATAATTAATTTATATTACATGAAAAGTTTGAATAGGTGCTTATTTTCTCTTACTCATACTTATGCTTTCCAAATTAGTTTTCATAACCCAGTAAAGATCATTAATGTAATTCCTTGTAATTAAACATATTGTACTTGTAATTTGTAGCTTTCAGAGAAAGATAAACCCTATGTGGATATCCAAGGGCTAACAGCCTCAACTATGGAAATACTGCTGGATTTTGTATATACAGAGACTGTCCATGTGACAGTAGAAAATGTTCAGGAGTTACTCCCTGCAGCCTGTCTACTTCAGCTGAAAGGTAATGCCAGAAACAAATTGCATAGAGCAGGAATCAAGGATCAGATGAATTGTCCAGACATCTTCACTGTACAAAAATGAACAGAACTTTACAAACATACTAAAGTTAGTAAATTAAAGATGTATTAAAATAATATATAGACCTTGCTTACCAACCATTTATTTAGCAACTTCTCAAAGTTGTGATAGCACTGAATGAGTGGCACTTACAACTGATTCTCAAAATTCCAGTTTCTCCATTGCTTAGTTCTGAATGCTGAATATTTTGAATAGCCATATAATACTTTTCAAAAAACTGATTATCTGTCCTAGTACAACCAATATGTGATTTTTTCCATTCTAGAGGTGTTTAAAATGTCAAAAAAATATGGCAGTAGAGTCTAAATTCAGACTATAAATATTGATCATAACTATACTTATATCAGTAGTTTTATAAGCTGGAATTAAGTGACATGTCAAATACAGTTTATTGAACTTATAAAAAGAAATTGATTGAAATAATAAATATACCTCTTCAACCCAATCTCTAAGCAGAGATTAATCATGTGCTTTAGATGTGTCTTTTGTAAAAAAAAAAGCAATATCAGCTTGTAAAGATATGAATTTTCTTGACCACAGTTGAAACCCAATATAACATTACACTTGTCTGGGTTGCTGTTCAGTAGAAATAAATATTGCACATTTTCACTTTTAATTTAAATTTGATTCCCAGGTGATTTTTCAGATTATGATTTGACCAGTCAAAGTGCCAACCATTTTATTTTCTTGTAGGAGTAAAGCAGGCTTGCTGTGAATTTCTGGAAAGCCAGTTGGATCCTTCTAACTGTTTAGGTATTCGTGATTTTGCTGAAACGCATAATTGTGTTGATTTAATGCTGGCGGCAGAAGTTTTCAGTCAGAAGCATTTTCCAGATGTAGTACAACATGAAGAGTTTATCCTCCTCAGTCAAGAAGAAGTGGAAAAACTCATCAAGTGCGATGAAATTCAGGTAAGAACTCATCCGCTACCTTAGTTTAAGGCAAATAATGTTTAATTCTGACATGTAATGAATGCAAACCAACCATGTATTTGTCAAGCTGTATAAATAGGATTTTCATGTGTTCTTTTGAGAATCATATAATAATATATACATTTAAAGCAGCTTTTTCAATGAAGTGTGATAAGATTGTTTGCACTCTAGCCATTCTTTCCTTTTCCTTTTCATGTTAATGTTTTTGTCTAATGGGAAACATGGGAAGATCTTGTTTTTTATTATTTATTTTTATCTCGCTTTTATTTTTATATATAACTCAAAGTGGTGAACATACTTAATATTCCTTCTTTCTCCTCTTTTCCCCAACCCAAACTCACCCAACCAGCCTTCATGCCTAAGGTGGGAGTAGAACTCACTGTCTCCTGGTTTCTAGTTTGATGCCTTAATTCCCCGCCCCCTCCACACACACACACTTTTAGAGAGGACTAAAAAAACTAGAAAAAGCCCTAAATTCAATTATCATTGTAGGAACTGAGCCTTTAATCATATTAAATCTTGGAATTACATGTCACATGTTCACACTTTATATTTGTGACAGTCATAAGACAAAGCTACAGATTTTCTTTGGTAGACATATGATTGGATTTTTATAATATATGACTGGGTTTGTTTCTAGCAATCATAATTTGCCAAGCAATTTTCCCACAGTAGAAGTACAACCTGTGTTTGGGCTGTCAGGAGGCTATCTTGAATCATAGCCAACTCTTTGCAAAAGTCTGAGGAGTTTTGCTTCTTTTCTTACAGGTAGCTTCTGAAGAGCCTGTCTTTGAAGCAGTTATTAATTGGGTGAAACACTCAAAAAAGGAACGGGAAGCCTCTTTACCAGAGCTTTTGCAATACGTGCGCATGCCACTTCTAACTCCACGCTATATCACCGATGTCATAGATACTGAGGTTGGTCCAACTGATCTTTTAGAAATGGTTAATATTATAATGGTGGGCAATTTATTCTTTTCCAAACGGTATTACAGTTGTTTAACTATTAAACCTGTCCGGAGAGCTACAGTTTAATATTAAGATCATAGTTAGGGAAGACCTTGTTCATTATAGGAATACTATGTCTGAGAGTATCCACTATTAGTAGTATCACTATTGCACTACAACATTTATTCAATTTGGGATATTTTCTGATGTTCATGAAATGCTTGCAGTTCATAACACTTTGTTCATTGAGGAATGATTGACATCAACTTAGCAGATACAGAGGCATTTGTTTCAGTACTGAAAGGAATATTCATGATTTTAAATTCACCTGCAGTGAATACAGATCAATACATTTGCAAAAGCCCCTTCAGGCTAATAAAAATTATTGATGTGTATGTCCATTAAAAAATCTGAAGCCAGTTAACCACATATAAGAATATAAGATGAACCATGCAGGATCAAGCCAGTAGTTCATCTAATACTATGAATACCAGTCAATGTGATATATTTAGGGAGCTCACAATCACGGAGAGAAGGGTGATACTTTTCTTCCACTGTTGCTTTATAGCAGCTGGTATTTAAAGTGTGTTGTCTGTGATTCTTAAAATAAAAAGAGCTAATTGGAGTAGTAGAATCTAAACATTGTGAAGTGCTTCAGATTTCATTACAAAAAGAGACTTCGGAGCACATGTACATCTGACCTGCAACTTACTAAAGTAGCTACATGCCTTTTCAGATCAGATGGCTGCCTGGAAAAAGACTTCTGTTTTATGAAATCACAGGCAGGTGCTGCATTTTGTGCTTCCATGCTTCTCTGCAATACATTTATGGAACTGGATCCAACAAAAGTGGGGATCACTTTTCCATGAATGTAACCAGCCCCATTTAAAATTGTTTATCTCAATAATCATCAGCATATCTGTTCCTAATCACATGCCAAAAAAATGTTTGGCAAACTGCAAGCTGCCCTTTTGTATCTGGGGAGTCCTTGGTGTTATTTGAGCTTAGTTGTTTGCAGGCATTTCATTACCCAATTTAAATAACATCATCAATGCTAGAAAGTGGTGTAAGTCCCTGATTACTGGCTGGTGGGAAAGATATGTTTTGGTGTTTTGTTTCCTTCTTAGCTTTTTTGTCTTTTTTGAAACAATGTGTAAATCTTTATCTTCGTGTCTGTTGATGGCTCATTTGTTTGAATACCAAGCTTCCAGAAATTCCCTAGCATTTTATGAATTTTGTATTTATATTACAACATAGCATGTAAATACAAAAGGAATTAAATTCACATCAGAATACACATTTTGTTAGGCATCTCTTCCCTCATGGATTCCTGAATTTAGTAAATTTTTATCGGTTCAGGTTTCAATGGATGCTACTATGTTCTAACACTGGGACGGGAAGCTTTCTCTCCATGTTTTTCATAGCATGTGCAATTTATCTTGGTCAGGCATTACTTCCCTTGGCTGCATATTGAAGAAACCTCAGATACTATTTCTTTGGGAAAGCTATTGCAGTTTCTCAGATATTTTGATAGCTCTTTTTTGCAATATCATTTTTCAGGAGAACTGAAAGCAGACCAAATACAAACAGATCAGGGTTTCTCTTAAATACACTAAGAGTAAAAGTGACCTTTCCTTATGTTTTTGCTACTTCATCTGTCCTTCAATTATGTCTTTCACTCAGTGGTTTAATGAAGATTAGTACTTGTGGTACAGATGATTCATTAGTGTAAAAGAAATAGTTTAAAACTCAGCAATTTTATAGTAGCGTAATTGTTTAGCTTTAGAATGGGTCCCTTCTGCTACCATAACACAAACTTTTATATGTCTGTATATGCCTAATATTGCTTTTAAAAATACTGCTTTAATATAAATGTTGTTCTTTTTGTTGTTTTCATAAGGCAGTATACCTCTGTGGTATCGCACACTTGTATATATTGTAAAAATTATATAGTCTTGTTATATTTCCCCAGCCTTTTATCCGATGCAGTTTACAGTGCAGAGACCTTGTAGATGAAGCTAAAAAGTTTCATTTAAGACCTGAACTCCGGAGCCAAATGCAAGGTCCAAGGACCCGAGCACGTCTAGGTAAGTGGCAAAGGATTCAAATTAACATTTAAGAAGAAGGAAATGTCATGTTCCATTCTCATGTTTATTATCTCTTGTCAGTTGCCATGTTTAGGGGATTAATGGATTCATAGTATTCTGTTATCACTCCTACAGAAGATGGGCTTGAAGATTTTTATATATCAAAAAACCCTGCTACCCTCAAAGTCTAGAGTTGTATTCTGATTCAAGTAAATTAAATAGTTATTGAAAATAAGTAATTAGTCTCTTTTTTGAGAGCCGGTTTGGTCTAGTGGTAAAAGCACCAGACTGGAAAGCAGGAGACCATGAGTGAAGTTCCACCTTAGCCATGAAAGCCACCTGGGTGACTTTGGACCACTCTCAGCTCAACCCACCTCACAGTGTTGTTTTTGTGAGGAAAATTGGTGATATGTTTGCTAATTTGAGTTATTTGTAAAAATAATAAAGGCAGGATACAAATTAAATGTATCAAATCAAAAATATTTTATGTTTCCATGTGAACAGCAATCCTTTAAAATACTGAATTAGTTAAATTTTTGAAGAGATCACTTATTAAAATATTTTGAGTTTCAAGCAGGAGAATTTCAGTTTGCTCCATAAAAATAAATGCAAAACATAATCTAAATAATTTATTAGTAAATAAAATACAGGGGAAGTAATGTTTAAAGCATAATTTATGTAATTTATAAACCTTCATAGGGTGAAATCACCATGTACCTTCAAGCCCAAAACATATGTTTGAAGAAAAAAGGTACAAATGTGCTTAGTCATCAATATGCTGTGTCTGTCTAGTTCAGATGGATGGATAGAGGACTGGCCTTGCCTAATTTTAGGTGTTGTAGATCAGCGGTCCTCAACCTTTCTGGCTCGGCGGACTGGCGGAGGTGGCAGCAGTGGGGGGAGGGAGTGGGTGGCACACCCATACACATGCACTGCTTTTATACATGCAGCTGTGCGCTCATTCACACCCACCCACCACTTCCGCAGTCCAGTTCCCAATAGGCTGTGACCTGGCAATGGGCCTTGGACATGGGATTGGGGGACCCATACTCTAGAACTGTTAATGAAATATGTATTGATAAACTACTTGGAAGAAATTACAGTGGTTATTACTGAAATATAATGTGCCCTCAAAATTATTTTCCTAACTGAAACAATTAACTGAATACAATAGAATGAGCTCACGAAAAGCAAATATAGAACATAGCTAGGAAGCAAGTGCATAGCTGCAGAATAAAAAGTCAGATTGTCAGAAAATGACTCACAATTTTGTGGCTCAGGTTAGCGAGAATAATTAGGATGATTTTTGAAAAGAAAGAGAAAGATAATTTGTTTCATGAACAAGCGTGGCGGTTGAATTGCCTTTCAACTATGTATTCAATGATACCTTGATTTTTGTTGATATTATTAAAGAAAGGAAAATCAACTATTAACATTTCAAATACAGTATTGTTAATATGTTATTACCTACTGAACATATAAATGAAGTGCATTGCTATTTTAGTGTTTGATTATATTTGTTATAACAGGGATTAATATGCTTACCAATTCCATACAGTATAGTTTTCAAACAGAAAGTAAGGGGAGGAGTGGAAAATCTGAACAAAATTGTTCAGTGAAGTAGTAAAGCTTTCTTGAAGATTTTTAAGAAGACAGGAGGAGATTTCAATGTTAATATGAAGGTAGTTCATTACTCAATTATATAGTTCTTAAATAAATGTTTAGGAGTATGTGCTAATTACTTTTTGTTTGCTAATTTTACATGCTTCCTTCTCTTCTGATTCCAGACAGCTTACAGCATATAAAATAAAATCATAAAGTCAATCTGTAAAACCAATAAATACTAAATAACTACTAAAAATTATAAAGCTGCCATCAAACAAGCCTATGCAGTCTCTTGAAAAAGTTATTTTTGAGTTAAGACTGTAACCAGGACTGCAAGGATTGCTGTTGCTAAGCAGTGCGGTCATCTGACAACCATAGTGCTTAGCCATGGAAATTCTGGTCCCACTTGTCATCATAACCTGAGGACTGCCTGTCTCGATTGGCAAATTTGTAAAGCAGCCATTCCCTGTTAACAGAGGCCTTTGAAGTTTAACTTTGCTCTTGGGTTTACTGTTCTTTTTCTACAGTAGACAGAAAACAGGTCAATTGGTTGGTTAAACAGAGTTGGAGAAGTTTATAAATTGTGGACCTATTTCACAAGGTGGGGGTGGGGAAACTACTCTTGTTGAAATATATTTAATCAGTATTCAACTAGGGGAGGCAATTTATGTGTATGTTTTTTATGTATTCTTTTCCCTTGTTTAGTTTTGCTTTGTTTGGGTTTTTTTTTTGTCTTTGTTTTCTTGGCGTTTGTGTTTTAATTTTGGTAATAAAAAAATTATACAAAAAAAGCAGCTGAGCTGTTGCTTTTCTCAGAACTGCATAGCAGTTGCAAAAAGCAATCATGTATATATCCTAGTAAAATATGCTGTTTCTTTAAGCAATCCAAGTTTATCCAATTGGTTTCTTGACTAAGGGAAGTGCTAAATCCTAAATCTTCCCACTTCTAATCCAGTTCCTGTGATAGTACACTACACTGGCTTTCAGGTTTTTTTAAAGTTATTTAAAATTTTTATCCCATTTTTATTTGTAAAGCTTACTGATGTGTAACATTATGTGGGTCTCTTTCATTTAGGTGCCAATGAAGTTCTACTTGTAATTGGGGGTTTTGGAAGTCAACAGTCTCCCATTGATGTGGTGGAGAAATATGACCCCAAAACACAAGAATGGAGCTTCTTACCAGTATGTACTTATCTGCTTCATCACATACGTTTAAAACAACAACATGCTATTTACATATGTGAAATGTTAGGTATCTATTGTGGGACAATTTGCTTATAATTCAGTAATGAATCTAAGATTCCTAGAGCATTTTTTCTTAAAAAAAGCAAAATGTCTTTGGCATGATGAAGTTTAGTGCAAAAGAAGTATCAGGTAAAGAAATTTTTCATTGCCCAATGCTTCTAATTTCACAATGTTTTTTTCTCTAGTTTTACCAGTAGTGTTTGAATAGGTAAACACATCTGTCAGAGGGAGAACTTCATTTTTTTAGAAATCTCCATGTAAGAATGGGTATAAAATATAAAATAATGGGTATAAAAGAATGGGTATAAAACCCTATTTGTGAACAGTAGAAGATAACTGTCTCTTCCTGTCTATACTCCTTAGGAAGTAATACAGTAGTATTCTACTACATGAATGGATTGTAATGCAGATGGATGCAGACAGGAACAGATTCAAGGTCAGACCGTTGTTCACTGTCATCTCAGTATTTTTTAATGGAATGACAGTGTTAAGCAAAGCACCTTCTCACATTTCTAAAATTCTAAAATATGCTTCCAAAACGATTTAAGGATTACTGAGAAAACCATATTGTATGTAGGATTGCTAAATCAAGATTTAAAAATATTCCAAACAAAATATCACTTTTTTATATTTTCAAAGTACATAGAAGACATTTTCCTGTTTTTGTAAGACATTTCTTCTCTCTGAATTAAAATTCTCCAGAATTTATTATGGTCCATAGGGATCAAATTTATCTTATGCTGAGAAAAACACAATTGTGCTGCATTTTGAAAAGGCAAACATGGGAAATTGAGTATTATTGTTGCAGATGAGCTGGACACCTGCAAATAAACCCTGTCACATTAGTCCACGTTGATACAGTTTACATTCTTTCTCTCTGATTTTGCATTCTAGCACTAGAAAATTGCTAATGTCAATTTCTTTTTAGATACAAAAATATGATTCTATTTTCTTTCTTTTAACTTATATAGAGCATCAGCCGCAAAAGACGCTATGTTGCTACAGTTTCCTTGCATGACCGGATATATGTAATAGGTGGCTATGACGGCCGTTCACGTTTGAGCTCTGTGGAGTGCTTAGATTATACTTCTGATGAAGATAGCATTTGGTACTCTGTGGCTCCAATGAATGTTCGACGGGGTCTAGCAGGGGCCACAAGTCTAGGAGGTATGTATTGAAAAACAACCAACTAATTATTATTCTTGGGGAAAAATCTACATGTGGGAAATAAGTATTAATGAAGGGATCTTTGGTGCTCTCTGAGCTTGGTTGTTTTCTTGCAGACTGTTCATTATCCAAACTAGGTAATATTATCAATGCTAGTAAGGCGTTCGGGTTTGCTCTCAGTTTATATCTGGTGGCTTGTCCTGTCAGTGTTGATGGGAGTGATCTTGGTTGTTCTTCGGTTGGGCTATTCACTGTTAGCTTGTTTGGAAGTTCCTTGATTGGGGTATTATTTACTTCTTGATTGTTGGTCTGATGTTAATCCTGGTGTTAATCTATGTTCATCTAGGGGTTGATTACAGGTGTGGAGGTGTTTTGATCTTTTTCTTCCCTTTTTGGCTTGTTTGTTTCTTTTGTTGTTGTTTATGTCTATGTATCTATTGATGGCCAATTTGTCTGAGAGCCAGGTTTGCAGAAATTCTCTAGCATTTTTTAATGTGGCTTCATCTAGGATTTTCACAGGTTCCTTGTTGAAACTATGGTTAAGTCTGTCTGTATGTTGTGAAATTGAAAAGTTTTCATCATGTCTTCTGACTGCTAGTTGGGGTTCATTGATGTGTTCTGCTAGTCTTCTGCCTGTCTGTCCTATATACTGGTTATTACAGTCTTTATACTGCATGTTGTAGATGACTCCTGTTTTTTCTCTTGAGGCTGCTGGGACTTTTGCTTTACTTGGGATGTTTTGGAGGGCTTTAGTTGGCTTGTGTACTATGTTGATTCCATGTGGTTGTAATAGTCTGTTGGTGCTTTCTGAGATGCTTTTGATGTTTGGCAGCATTATCCTTTTTACAGCTTGAGTTGGTTGTGCTATATTGGATTGAGTGGTCATGCACTTTGTAATGAAGTTGCATGGATATTCTTTTTGTGGAAGAAGTTGTATAGATGATCTGTTTCCTTTTTCTGCTGTTCAAGGTTGCGGTAGCATGCTTGTGCTTCTCTAGAGTTCTTACACTGTTTCTCTTGTAGGAGTTGGAAATTAATATTATCAACAATAATAATTAACCAAAGTAATAACCCAGCCTCCCACAAGAAAATGAATACATAGCAGAAATGGGGGATGGAAAATATCTGCAAAAATTCCTCTGATTGCCATATGTTGGGAGGAGCATATACCTATATTTGACTTGTGCGTAATTTTTTTTAAAGATTCAGTTAAGCATGCAAAGAACAAGTCTAATTTCATTTTGAATGAGAGATTGAAGTAAATGATAGTTTGACTTCAAAATCTTCATGTTCAGTATCTTTTATCATGCATGGGCCTTTTTTACCATTTTATTTCGAATCATTTTCAAAATGCATACACCTCTGTCTGTTTATCTAAGTGTCTTAACTACACCTTTTGCTGCAATTTTCAATTTGTGTACCTTGAAGATATTAGGACAAATTTTTTGAAGCTACAGAACTAATCACTCATGTGTACAATATTTGGTCTTCCTTATTTAAGGGGTTAATTTGAGGGGGTTTAATTCAGAGGTTTGAACAGTGTAATCCACTAGCATTACTAATTTCTCTCTTCAGAGACATGGAATCAAAAATGTTTCGAGAAGGGAACTTCTATTCCAACTCTAAAAAGTATCCCAGCCCCATCTACTTTTGCTTGTGATCGTCAACACGGCAGGGAAATTTCTAAATTTCTTGGCTTGATTTCTAAGCCAATGGAAAATGCAGGTTCCTGATAACAATATTTACTCCCTTTGGTAGTTCACCCTTGCTTTTATCATTTGTACTTGTATTTATTTATAAATTTCTATATTTCATTTGATACACTTTGGGGTGCTTTGGAAATAAAACAGTAATACACATAATTTAATAAGATTTTTTTTTTAGAAAAATTGTGATAAAGAAAAATCTTTCTCTTGAAATAACTGACTCCAGTTTGTTATAGATATGATATATGTTTCTGGAGGTTTTGATGGAAGCAGACGCCACACCAGTATGGAAAGATATGATCCAAATATTGATCAGTGGAGTATGTTGGGAGATATGCAGACAGCTCGTGAAGGTGCAGGACTGGTTGTGGCCAATAATATTATCTACTGCCTTGGTATGTAAACCCCCCTCCCATTTGGATGTCCTAGTATTAAAAGTATTAAATCAAACATACTCCAGCATCCATAGATTTTCTGTTGTATGTTGTTCTGTTGTATTATCAAATATAATATTTTTACCTGGAATGCCCTTAGTACAAAATTCCAGTATTTCAAAATTGTAACTGTAAATGGAGTACTATGAGAAGGAATTGCTTAGGAATTATCAGATTGCATCAGTTCTTTAATATTTGTGCATAAAGTACTGAGGCAGAATTTTCACATCAAAATGTGTTGAGTACAAAATTTAATGAATTTCAAAGCTATTGAATACTAAGGCACTGCATTAAAAAACCCTGCTCTAAACTATTAGGTAGTTAAAAAAATTATCAGCATTGTAATATAATTTCAGCTAGAAAAAGAGTTATTCTAAGAAATATTTTTGTACCAAATTAAAGTTTAGTTGAATTGGGTTTTATGAAATTAAAATGAATCTCCATCATCTTTCTTGGAAAAGCTAATATATTCTGACACCTTATGTATGAAGAAAACCATTAAAGCTTTCTAGAGTAACCTTTCTTCCACAAGTATGTCTAGATACTATAAGTTGGCATTTTAGCTGCCAAAATGTCCAGGCAATTAATTATGCCACAAAGTATAACACTATTCACTATACAGTATTTGTCCAAAGCTAGCATTTGTAAATCAAATCAAATCAAATCAAATCAAATCTTTATTATGGCCATAGACCACTATAAGGAGGGGGGAGTATGATTGTTAGCTATAAGATATAAAAAATATGTAATTAAAAACTAAAAGTATATATAAAGAGCAACACTCTACAATAAGGAATAGGAGCATTAAATGGGTATAGGGGAGCATAAAAGGTTAATTGGTGGAAAACTATATCAAATTACAAAGTTAATATTGTAGACTAGGTGTTTGTTAAATCTAGTTTATAGTGCAGGTAATCATCCAATGAATTTTGAACGCTGCTGCACAGAACCAAAACCATTGTATGTCGTAACAGGGTTGATATCTGAAAACAACAGCATGGTATAAAACTGTCTTGTGTGCCTTGGATATTTATTTAATAATGGTAAGATGAGGCTAGTGCAAATGTCTTTGTAGTAAAAGCACTGGGGAGAAATATCCTCTGTAGTTCTGTGCCTCCTGCATCAAGGGGCATTGTCTCTCCAGGCAAGGAATCTTCCTATATCAGACTTTAAGGACCATACCAGATATCATACCAGAGTAAAGGCCCTTTTTTGTTTAGGGCTGATATATTTGTCGATTTTTTTTCAGCATCCAAATAATATAGGTGGGTAAATTAGGACTGCTATACAATATTGTTGCACATCAATGTAGCTACAAATCTGTGTTTCCTTCTCCCCCCCACCCCCAACTATGGATCTTTTTTTGCTTTTTATATGTTTTCTTTATTCTGACTCTGAATATAAAACAAACAGAGACACTTAATTTACTTTCTCTTGTGTATGCATTTAGGTGGGTATGATGGTCTGAACATCTTAAATTCTGTGGAGCGATATGATCCCCATACAGGCCATTGGACAAATGTGACTCCAATGGCTACTAAACGCTCAGGTGAGATTTCTGATTGGGTTAGGGAATTATGGAATAAAATCTAAATGCTTTCTAGATAGAATAAATCTGAATAAGGGAAAGAGATAAAAAGTCTACATCTTTCTGTAAAATATATACAGTACTTTACTGAGATCCTGTCAGACACATTTAGTAGACAATATTTGTTGAGCAAAAATGTTTTCCGCAGGCAGCCATCCTGAAAACATTAAAAAAATACATTCAACTACAGTATGGAGGTAGAATTCCCCAAGCTTACCACTGAGCAGCTCTTTCCAAAATCTCTTCTAAATCATCATATTAGAACAGTCTTTACATCATAAACCACTTATTGTTTCTTACTCTATTATGTTTAATAGACATTTTAAATATTAACTTCTTTGATACCCTGAAACAACATCTTCATCACAAATTAATTCACTATTAATATAAACTGTCAGTAGTAATTATGAATATTAAACAGTTGTTAAAAATGAAGGCATATGCAGTTGTTATTACTAGATTTTTATTCTGCTTTTGATTAGATAGCTCAGGGCAGCAAACAAAACTTCATATTCCTGCCTTCTATTTTTCCCACAACAACAACCCTGTGAGGTGGGTTGGGCTAAGAGAATAACTGTCCCAAAGGCACCTAGTTGACTTTTATGCACAAGGATAGAAGTTAGCATGTCTTACGGAAAGCAGACTATGCAGTCTCCTGTAATCCCCTAATGTCAAACAGAAGGAATTCATCTACTGCTTTGCTATCACATTTCATTACTTGTCCTTGCAGGAGCTGGAGTAGCCTTGCTCAATGACCACATCTATGTGGTTGGAGGGTTTGATGGAACATCACATCTCTCCTCTGTGGAAGCTTATAACATTCGTACAGACTCTTGGACAACAGTAACAAGCATGACAACACCCCGCTGTTATGTGGGGGCAACAGTGCTCCGTGGAAGGCTTTATGCCATAGCTGGGTAAGCAAATGGTGCCTATGGAATTAACATTTATGATCCTTAAATGTTCTAGGTATCCCTGACACTTGCTTTGTTTTATGGAATTATAGGCTACATCTTCTGTACCTCTCCAGATACCATTTATTTTGGGTATAATTAGATACTGTGTGCATACATGATGTTATCCTATTCAAATCCTTTAAAGTCATTTCTGCTTTGATGGTATCTGTGCTTTGGTTATATGGTGTATATCACAGGCCAATCACATTGCTGCAGTTTGTATGTTTGCTCCAAGTTACTTAGATCACAGGGTTTTACCTGAAGTGAAACACCTGGAGGGGACCATTTTGAGGGAATTCTGATGCAAGTTTGAAACCAAATATATTAAAAAATAAGATTGTTTTATGTCTCTGTCAGGTCAACAGAACCAACAGCTTTCTGAAGTATGTAAGATGACGGTGCATTCTGGTTTCATTGCCAGATTATATATATTCATAAAATACACTTGTCCTTATCCTAAATTTCTTATCAAAATGGAAATTGGTCTATTGTATAGTAATGAGTAAAAGTAGATAAGAGTCCTCAACTTATGACCACAATTGGGCCCAAAATTTATGTTGCTAAGAGACATTTGTTAAGTGAGCTTTGCCTCATTTTACAACCTTTTTGCCACAGTTAAGTGAATCACTGCGGTTGTTAATTTGGTAACATGGTGGTTAAGTGAATTTGGGTTCCCCATTGACTTTGTCAGGTCGCAAAAGGGGATCACATGACCCCAGGACACTTCAATTGTCATAAATATGAACCAGTTGCCAAGAAGCCAAATTTTGATCATATGACCATGGGGATGCTGCAATGGTTGTAGATGTGAGGACTGCCTGTATAGCAAGCTTTGCCTGATGCTAATTTCTGAATAGCTTTAAAAAGCTCTTAGAAGAGCTTTATTTTCCTGTGACAAAGGTATTCTAATAGTTCTGACTCTGAATCTGGACCTCAGCAAGGTTTCATCTGTAAATCTCTGTTGTATACAGGTATGATGGAAACTCACTCCTGAGCAGTATTGAATGCTATGATCCTATCATAGACAACTGGGAAGTGGTGACATCACTAGGAACCCAACGTTGTGATGCTGGTGTTTGTGTACTACGAGAGAAGTGACTTTAGGAAAGGCTTGGGAGAGCACTTCCATGGAACAATTACCAGAAAAAGCATTGCCTGACTTGGAATTATTGATCCTGTAGCTGTGAATTAAGTCACTTTTAATATCTGGACTATGCTGCAAATTATCAACAGATCTACTGATTCTGGTTTGAAGAAAAACCCAGCCACAATGCACTTTGGCTTGACAATGGATGAACTGCATGCTCGTGTAGACTAACTCTGTAAAAATGAATCATCAGAGCTGCAAGAATGTCTGCTTGCTGAATATCTAAGTCCGTCATCTCAGTTGTCTCTAATCATCAGCACATACTCATTGAGCTTTGACCACATCCAAAGTTCTGTTTGTTCCTGAATATTTTCATATACCAAATATGCTGATGAACATCATATGAGCAGACCAAACTTTTTGGGGATACTTTTTCAGATTCTGCACCAGCTTGCCCATGTTCTTCTGGAAAGCAGCCAGGAACCAACCGATCAATGAAAATGAAACATTATGTATGTCGGTATACAAACTTGACATATGCAATACATAAGGTGGGGCAAAGGGCAGACAGGAAAATTACCTGCTAGGATATGCAGTCATATCTGTTGGGAAGAACAAGAGGCAGGCAAGCAGGCAGGCAGCACTAGAACTTTAAATATTTTTTAAAAATACCAGAGACTAGAATCAATATGCACTAGAGAAAAAAAAAAAGGTGTTAGTGCTTAAGCAACAACCAGGTTTATGTTTACATTTGCCTTCTAAGCTACAAACTCTTGCCAGTAGCAGAACAATGAAGGATGTCTTTGGCATCTTGAGTGCAGCAGTTATTTATAAATATGCTTTTGAAGAAAACCTCTACCCAAGGTACTTTTTAGGAACTGGATGTGCCCACACACTACGAGTTCTCACTTCAAATCATAAGAGACTCCCAAAGTTGCAGTGGTCACCTTCATGTTGCACTGCAAATACGGTTGAAATGTGATGCCGATAAAGGGATTGCAGTGTATATGTCCAGAATGAATGTCAGTACACATTTTTTGCATTTCAGTTGTGTTATTCTGTATTTCTTGTGCTTTCAGCCAGAAAGGCTAACCACCTCCATATCCACTAAGGATTTTTGAATAATCATCTCCAAAGTGAGCCAGAACTGTTGACTTGCTCAAGCCAATCTTCTATGGTGGCACCTAAGATTCTCAGCTCCCAATCTCCTTAATATGCCTCTGATATATAATGCAGCTTGTATTAGATATGTGAAGACAAGTCACTTTGCTGGTGGAAACATAACCCTGTGGATAATGCTCCTCCACCCCTCAATTATGTGCTGTAGCTTTCAGTGTGACCTTGGCATTTTCTCTCATGAAACTACTGAGGCTTTGTGTGTGTTAGCCGATCAGAAACCAAGGGATGAATGTATTTATTTTCTTGGGTGGGGGTGACTTCTTGCTTTGGGGATGGGGGTACAATAGACTAATTATGCACTTTCAAACAGCATTGATTTAAAAGCCCTGACCTATCACACTAGTGTTTGATTCCTTTCATATGTATTTTTTAATAAAAGGATGGCTGGTTCAAATATTTGATATATCCATATAGGTTGGTTATACTTGCACTATTTATTAAGTACTGTGTTAGTTTCTAGATGTCACTGATTTAAAAAAGGCCAAATGTAATGTTGCCCAAGAGCATATCATCTATAACACTTGGAAGGCTTACCTAGATTTCCAAATGCAGCTATGATTATATAATAGGGATTTTAAATTTTCCTGGCCTCTGGGTTTTGAATTTGTAATTTATTTTGTTAAGAGACAATACCATACTTTAATCATATTGCAATATTTTTAAAAAGATAACTGAAACCTTCATCACCCACATTAATATAGAAGGGATTTTATTGTGAAAATAACTGTAAAGTAATATTGCTATGGCTATTACTTAAAAATCAACAATGTTAATATTGAAGTACATTTTTTTACAACTAGAAAATAACTAATTTCATACAATTTTCGGTCTAAGCATCATGAAAAGATTAAGACAGCTATTAAGCTACATCTATAGAATTCCTGGATTTTATTAGTTATCTACATAATTTCATGTTTATATTATATGAGCTCTCCATTTGCTGTTCGTAATTACAGTAAACTTTTGGAGACTTATGAGACCTATGACAATACTCTTCGTGATAATGAAAGAGAAAAAGAGGTTACAGCATAATAGCCATGCAGTGAGACCATTTGCACATTGATAAAAATACTAAGAATTAAAACCACTTGTTTAGAAAATGTTTAGCAGTCCTTCGGTAAGTAAAAACCAATTTTAATTGGCATAACGAACCGTTGTCTGCGATCACCCGGACTTCAGGATCCGTTATTTGAAACTTGCTCCTTCCGAAGCGAAGGTGGCATTTTCATAGGAAATTATGGGAAATTGGCGTCTGCTAAAGTGAACTTCTAATAAATAACCGACGCAGAAATGTTTGGACACGCTTTTTACTATGTCTATGAACTGCCCAAGTCACCTAATAGGTACTAAAACCTACGTATAGCTGTAGCCGCATGTAAAGTAGAGTCTTCAAGTCGGAGTTCTGCAATTATCGGAATTGGATCAAACTAGCCGGTATCTCTAGTACCTACTTTTACTTTTTAATCTCTTCCTGGGTCTCCAATCTTAGGTTGCGATCCTTGGTTTACTGAGGTAGAGAGGACTTCAGCGGCAAGCACAGCAGAGGGCACCTGTAAAGCTCCTCCCCCCTCCCGGGTTTCAAGGGGCCGCTCCCACTTACATATATTCGGTGGACAGGAGGGTAACCCGGTCCCGCCTATCCAATAGAGCGGGATTGCCTGACTTCGGCATCGTTAAGGACTTCAACTCCCAGAATTCTCTAGTTGGGTGGAGAGTTGAAGTCCCCAGTTTCAAGTTGCTGAAGTCGAGAAACGCCGCCGTGAAGACTCTCCTCCCTTGCTCTATTGCGCTTGCGTAAGTATGGCGGCGCCCAGTTCGGCGATGGAGGCGGCTGCACTGGGACCTGAGGAGCTTGTGTGCGCGAGTGGGCGGAACCGCAAAGCCGTGCTTTGCCAGCGCTGCGGCTCCCGCGTCCTTCTGCCAGGAGCTGCAACCTTCACCCGCAGAGAGGTAGGGCGTATTCGGCTCTCCGTTGTGTTGTAGTCCGTGGTGGTAGCTGTCTAACTCCCCCGTCTAACTTCCAGCCTCGGATGAAATCGGAGTTGCCAATCCCTTGATCGACAGGTGGATTTAAACAAAGCTAACCTTTCTGAGGAGGGAAAATTGCTTGGATTAGATCCCTAATGGAAAAAAAAATCCCTTTCCTCCTAGGCCTTCCAGTCTGGCTGAGTGAGATGCATAAAGTACTTTGTCATGGTAATGAAATATACCTGAAATTAAATCAAGGATTTAAATCTAGCAGAAACTTGAATACCTTTGCTTGACAGCTTTGTATTTGACAATGTCCTGGAACTCCCCTCTCCACTATGCCTGGCACTATGTGGCTGCTTTCATAATTGTATCCCAAACTAGCTTGCTTTGGGTCTCCTGATTTCTCACCCTCAGTAATGCAGTAGTGTGGGTTGGTTTGGCCCAAAGACACATTGCAAATGTGATTAAGTAGAAACTTGAACCAAGGCTCCCATCCATCTCCAATGTCTCCACCAATTCCCTATGCTCAGTAATAACAAAAGTCTTATGTTATTTGACAGCTGTTTCTTCCTGCTATGAAGAAGAAGACGGCTTTGGTGACAAATGGTGACCTAGAAGGGGATGTCTTGCAGGACCACTGGCTAGTCGAAGACATGTTTTCTTTTGAAAACGTTGGTTTCACCAAGGATGTTGGAAATGTAAAGTTCCTGATCTGTGCAGACTGTGAAATTGGTCCTATTGGCTGGCATTGCTTGGATGATAAAAAGAGTTTTTATGTAGCCTTGGACCGTGTTTCTCATGAATGAAATGCTCATAGGTGACCAAAAGTGGTTCCTAGGCACCTGGTTATGCCACATTCTAAATAACTTTCCAAGTTCCTCAATATGTAGACTTGAAACTGGCAGAAATGAAATACCCTTTTCAGATGCATCAATGGAAGTGCTTCTATTGCTTGTTGAGTTGCAACCCATTTGAACCTGACCAAATTTGTACTGATATTTAATAATGTACAATTATGTGCATATACTTTGAAATACACAATTACATGCAAATTGGCAATTCAGTTTCCTTAATGAAAAAGGGAAGATAATCCTGAATTTTGTCCTCTGAAAAATAAGAGTGTAATACAACAGGGAATAAGGCTTCTGATTTATTGGGAGACAAGGGAGCATACCATATTGTGATTTATGGCTTTCTGCTCTGTTCTGGTAAAAGAGTAAACATTTGTGATTTTGATGTTTACCGCTATCTAATGTTTACAAATATCTGAATTTTCACTTCATGATCATTGTTAATTAAAAGCCAGTCATTAGTTACAGGTCATCTTAAATATAAAAATAGTCAGACCGCAGGAAGTAATAATGGAAAATGGAAACGGAATTTTTAAATTTAATTGAAATCATGCATTTTAATTTATATATTGTATATATTGGAAGTACCAATGGTTAATGAAAAAGGGCTCACTCTAATAGGTGTAATCTTATATTTTCTGTATAAAATCTCCATTATTAATCTTTTTTCTAAAGCTACTGTAACACAACTCATTACTGTTATCCCTTGTGAATTACCCAGAAATCATTTAGTCTAGTTGGGAATGCTATCTGAATGTGGGCCCTTTATTTTTCATCTGTCTAGAAGAAAATAGAGAACTTAGCCATGTTTTGTTCTCTGGTTTCTAGTGTACCAAACCCTTCATTTAGATGTCAAGTTTAGAGTGTTCTCCAAGGCTTGGGAGTAGGGTGGGTATTGAACCAATCAGTTGCCTTTTGTTATACTGTACTATTTGGCAATATGCCTGTTTCTTTTTTGTTCACTTTTATGATTCCTTTTAATTTTAAGTGTAAAACTTCCAGGGTTGTTTGGACTTGGGCTGCCTCTGAATTTCAGTAAATAAAAATAGGCTTTGTGAAAAATGGTCAGCTTGTTAGCTATGTGCCCTTCATGGGCTGGATAACTCCCAGGGAAAGGGCATATTTATAGCTTAATTTTAACCAAGCTCAGTATGACAAGAATGTTGTTAAAATGCTACTGTGATTCTGTTCTGTGTATTAATTTAAAGAAAATAACGCTAGGTGAT